GTTCTGCTTGGGGCCCCCCAAAATCCTTGAAACGACCCTGATTGCATAATTATGAAGTTAACGTCAAATTGAAAGTAGGAATAACGCATGAAAAGTATGAGAATCGAACGTCCAACTAAATCGAAACACACCAGCATCCCATTTCATAGTCTGGTCTGACACCAGTTGCACTTTGTGTGCACAGTACAAATTGTTTTATGTGTACAAATTTATTCTCTAGGGGTCTTTTACATGCCTTTCTATTTTTTCTGTGAAATATACATACCTTTTAGGTCAGGAGTCGCTGCATAATGCTGTTATAATTTCATAATGATTCTTGATTCCTGACATTTATCTTCCAGCTCCAGTTAAACTGAAAATATAGAAACAGTCACATTTAAAGTCTCACTAAACTGAACTTACTCGGGGGTGGGGGGGATTAATAAAGTTAGAATCTCTAGATGCGCAAAGTTGGTAGAGACATACCCCAAAAGAATTAGAGAAGTAAATATGGGAAATTATGTTTCTTCAAAGTATTTTTTTTTATTATCGTTTAAAAAAATTTAACTTATTTAAATTTACAGCTTTTAAAATGTACATGTACAACACCTTTCACAGATATCACAATCAAAAAATGCTGCTCAATAATAAAAAAAAACACTGCTAATGTGTAAAGCCTAGTTAAAAGCCTGTTTATATAAAAATGTATTTAGTTGCTTCTTAAAAGACTCAATAGATTTAATAAGGCACGTGAAAAAGGACAATAGAAGCAGGTACTTCCTTTGAGCCATCAGCTGGAAAGTGGAAGTTTTTTAATTAGTCTATAGTACTCCAGTAACTTCAAATAAACTGCTTTTAGAGTCTGAGGGGAACAATATGGCGTCAAAAAGCTATCAATATATCCCAGAGGTTAGCTATGTAGTGTTCTGAAAGCTAGGGTCATATTGTAATGTTTATCTTATTGCACAGATAAAGTACTTACCCCTCACTGGTCCTTATTAAGACAGATAAAAAGACTATTACAAATATCCAAATAAGACAAGAGAAAAGCATGAATGACTATTTCTTATTTTTTGATTAACATGATCAGAGCTTTGAAATGTTTCTCAAATGATAAAAACTAATTTGTACCAGTTTTCTGGTCTCGGTTTTGATCACATTTAGTTGCCAGTAGTTGTACAAGAGCTATTGTGTGAGTGAGTGAGGTCAAATAGTTAATTCTCAGTAGAAAAGAACAAAAAAAGCTAAATACTATCTGCATACATATGATTCAGGATCTTATCCACTACTTTATGTAAGCCTGTTAAAAAAATCACAATACAAAATGACTGTAATGTGAAAAAAGGTTCAGTGGATATGAATGTTTGCAAGATACCATGGGTTTGTTTTTAATTAATAGGTTTTCTTTTGCCATATTTTCTTTATGTTGAATGGAAAACATACCAAAGGAAGTGAAAAGAAGTGACTGACTCTGAAAATCAATCCTTTGAGATTGCTTTTGAGAGTATTTAGGGGCCATATCTGAACCAATCAGAGGTCTAGAATGCTAACAAAGTATTAAGGAATTACCTCCTTAGTTTCAGAACGTCAGCAGGCCTCATTGAGGCCTCATTCACCAAGTCACTGTGTGAGCCTAAACATTCCGGGTAAGCTGCGACAATGTGTTCCTAGTTCTCATGGAAACAGAGCTCCAGGCAGAGAGCCAACTGCTCCCATCAGCCAGTGGGCACCAAGGAATGGTGAGTGAGGAATGTTGGTGTCCCAAATTACTAAGGAATTTCCACAATTTTCCCCATCTTCTCCTGAGCATCGGTAACTAGGAAGAGTGCGTGTTTGATAATCGCAGCATGTCACTGCATTTCATAACTATGCGAAACAACTGAACCAGACTCCAGGGTGCTAACTGGGTTACTTTCTGACCTGCAGAAAAAGAAAAAGAAATTCATTGCAGAAATTCTTGACAACAATACTGGCTTCAGATTAGCAATCTGCTCTTGCTGTTAAAAAAAATATTTTTCTTTGCCAATGTGTTTGTCGAGTCCATCATAAAACGTAAATTGGTCAAGAGTTGTTTATGGTGCAGCTTTACTTCAATTTATTTCAGATTATTAATATAGCGCCACTTCACTTTACAGAGACAATTCAATCAAATCATCCAGACAGATTGGGTAAGATTTATAATCTACACTAACTCAATTGATCTCATAGAGTCGCTGACCTTGCAGGATTTACTCCTACTGTAGATGAGCATATAGCACCAGCAGACATTCACTTGCAATGAATGTAGTTGACTCTGCAGCAATCTCTCAAACCAAGCATGCATGTAGGGACTGTGGAGAGGAAAAACTTTCTCTTAATAGGAAGTAACTTCCAGCAGAAGCAGGCTCAGTGTGAGTGGCCTGGGGAAACTGGGAGTGTAATGAGACACAAGCAACAAAAGGAAACAAAGAACCGACCCATAGATAATGCAACGTTAGAAAAGTTAACGGTAAACTCTGCTCCATAGATGGCTCTGTCCAAGGACAATTATTTATCTGAGCTCTGAGCCAGTTTTCATATAAAAACAATTAAAGAGAACACAGTCACAGTAAAAAGCAAATCCATAATTATATGTATTAGAGATACAGGACTTAAGACTGAAAACAGTTTCAACTGTATTATCTGTACAACAGTAGCCCAGCTGATGCCTCCTTCTAGGATGGTTTTAAAGCTAAACAAAGCAACAGGCCACATGAAGCTATAATGACGAGAAAATGCAGAGAGAAGATAAAAGTAGGAGTTGAAATAGCAAATATTACAAAATTGGAGAATATAAGTAGAATGTAGCAGAACGAGGAAAAGTGGTGCCTAGGTTCTCCAGGAGCCTAAGTTTATAGCAGCATAACTAAAGAGATAGCTCAGGAGAACCTGAGCCAATCTACAGTGGGTACAATAGGTATTCTAATACTCTGCTATTTTTCAAGTTCTCCTACTTAGAAATCATGGAGGGTTCTGAAATTGTCATCATAGGTGCACATCTGTGAGAAACAAAATCAAAAAGAAAATCCAGAAATCAAAATGCATGATTTTTTTTAACTATTTGTATGATACAGTTGCAAATAAGTATTTGAACACTTATACAAAGATTGGTTGCAGCTTACCATGAGGAGGACGACGTGACATCAAAGGAGACCACCAGGGCAGCAAGAGACGACGGCAGACCAAGGCTCGGCTCTAGAGGCTAACAACTGGAAATGGACAGAGGAACACTGAGCTTCAGAAGAGCCTGCAGACTGAGTGAGCGGTGGAGCGGGATGAGATATGGCATCAGCTCTGTCTGCACTGGAGGTAGGATACGAAAACTACGACGGAGAATTAGCACCAGGCTCGGCCAGGTTCATGTTGGTGCAATCTGCAGTCTGATCATTGGCTATTACACATTGTATCTTAAAGTATGCCAATATTTTATAAGAAAAATTATATTTAAATCATATTCAAGGAATAATGAAAAAAAGCAACACCGACTAGCAGTTTTCTTTATTTTTTTGTTAAACAAGAATGATAAATTTGATAAAAATGGATCTTTGATTTTAAAACAAAATGCTTAGGTCATATTCAGTTTTAGTGAAAAGTTCGAAATAAAAACATTTTTGCTTTTCCTTGAAATTCCATTAGGATCTTAAACAGAACCAGACGTATTGTGGAGCAAAACATTTTCATTTAGTAACTCTCACTACAACATAAGCTAGAGCTGTACTATCAGGATCATGGCAAGCGTAAACTGACTTTGAAATATATATATATATATATATTTATTTATTTCGCCATTAAGAAATCCTCCTTAGAGGAGAAAGAAATAAACAAGTGTAAAACATTTCATGTTTCACTTTTTATTAAAAAAAGAACATAATCTGAATTGGAATAACCTTGCATAACATGTATGTGAAAGAAACAGAAGTAAGCCAGTCACCCAACAGTTTCTTAATGAACATAACTGGGAGTAAAAGCTGCTTCAGCAGAAATATTATTATTGTTGTTCCCTCCGGGGTTCTTCACAAGCACAAAGCCCGGGTGCAATGATGAAAAAACAATCAGTGCAGCTGGTCCTCCTTTATATTCAATATCAGTTCTTTTATTAAACAGCTTAATTTTATCTAAACCAGATTCCATCTTTTAGGTTGGAGTTGCTGGTTTTGTCCTTTTTTTTGTATCCAAAACAGCTCATAACACATGACAAAGCTGTACATCCCAAAAATGTTTACAAAGGATCATATTCTCTCAATAAGCACGGCCTGATGCTGGATACTAGCATACATTTCAAAATGTCTAAACACTTGAAACTGGTTTGAAACATTTTTTTCGTATCACAATGAAAGAGTAATAAATCCCGATGGCATCTGTGCGATGCAGTGAGTTCAGGGTTGGACGTAGCATAGTTCCAAACAGCACCAGGCGAGCATCATGAGGGCAGCTGTAGCCTAAAGGTTTAAAGTTTGTGACCAAATGATCACAGGTTACAATCCCTGGACAGATGGGGGACAAAGACACAGCACACGTCTGTCACACAGGTTTAACAAGAACTACAGAAATGCCCTTGAGCAAGGCACTGAACCCTCAGATTACTCCAGCAGGACTGCTCAGTGGCTGACATTCGCCCGCCTACCTCTTCCAGCTGGGAAGTCTCAAAAGTGAAAGTGAGGGCGAAAACGTGGTGAAGTCTCCTAATCAACTCAAAACTCAATACTGTCAAGAAAAAATGAAATAAAAATCCCCGTTTTATCACAGAAGGGGGAGACGTGTTCATTCATCTTAGAGGGTGGAAATCACCCAATTTAGATTTTTATGTCTAAGGAAATGGAAAACAATAACAACGCAGTTAATATCTACCACTCTAACGGCAGAGAGCAAAGCAGGCGCCAAAACCTCGTAAACATTCAAATAACACATCATCTATTTATCTGCAGTGTCACTGTGTCTGTTCATGTAATGAAGGCGCTATAAGGGTTAGAGCTGGAGTTGTAATGAAAATGGATAAGAGAGGATTTTTTTTGCTATAATCTTTAAGGGAGCTAAAAGAGAAAACTCCCTCGTTGAGAACAGCTACCATGTAGGTGTACCTGAGGAAGGCACCTGCTGTAAAACCCCTATTAGGTGGGGCTGTGCGTATATGGAAAGAGAAGAGCCTCCAGATCTAAATCGGGATCTAATATCCCCCAATTAGTCAGTGTCTCAGAGCTGTAGTTGTTGGACAAACTGAAGATTCGGTCTCCACTTGGTGGGAAATGTCTTTTTAAGTTTAAAAGGAAAAAATAAAATTTAAGAACAGCCATTGTGGAAAATATTTCGGTGCCAGAAATGAAGGCAGAGTGAAATCAGCTGGTGTTTCCAGCATCATGAGTTTCTAGAGGTGTTTTTAAGGGGGCAGAGGGGCCGCTGCATCGTCCTTTATTCTCCTGGCCATAAAGGGAGTGCTGTCATGCTGCTGGCCAGAAGGCGGGGGGGTTGAGGGGGGGGGGACCCAGGCGTCCTGCTAAATGTAGAACTGGTGAAGAGCGAGCTTGTCCATGAAGGGCCGCACCAAGTTATCTGTTGCAAAGTAGAAGACGAGGCCAAAAAAGATGGAGATGGGTAGAGCGGGGAGAGCTTTCCTGAAGATGGCGAGCAGGAGCAGAGTCAGACACAGGCCCTGCAGGGGGGGACAAATATCGTATGATTATGATACAAATTAAACCCAATAATGATGGTTTAACAGTTTCTAAGAAGGGTAGACACTGTGCTGACAGACGGAGTAAGTGAGTAAGGAGCTGGTCACTTACAATGAGGATGGCTACAAAGCAGGCGAGCGTGGTGTTCCAGTCGCCACTGGCTGTGGCTGAGGCCTTCCCCACCAGCATGCTGTAGAAGATGAAGTCTCCCAGCCCCAGCTTGACGCCTCCTAAGAACACAGGAGGTCGCCACATTTAGGGTGTAGTCAGTGCAAACAGTTCCAGTTAGCCCAGCACCCTCCAGCCTTCACAGCTGTAATTACTATAAAAATAAGAACTCCGACCCCATGTTTACAGAAGATTTAAGTTAGAAAGAGCACAGGCTGTCCAAATGGTTAGAACATAAAACCTTGCAACTGCCATAAACAATTGCCTCCTAATCTGTTTCGACTGATAAAAAAAGAAAAACTGTGGCAGTCAGGCGGACCGCAATCTTACAGAAAAAGAGACACATAAAAACGTTCCAGAAACGTTTGTAGAGAAGGGAACCGAAGCAGGAAAGCAGAGAGAAATCTTTGACTTAACAAGTTTAAATTACAAAGCTCATGTTCGTACTGATGTATGTTCATGTTCACCTATATAAAACGCCATCAGCTGCAATGTGTGCTAGTTGTGCCTTGAATACACCTTCCCTATTACCACAATACAAGATGTGGAGAAATATAGGAATGAAGCTTTGTTGCCTTTATACCAAAAAAAGTATTTCCAATTCATTCAAGTTCATAATTTAAAGTAAAGTTTCCTTCAATGCTGATGATGTTTTAGATTTTCCTAAAAATCCCAAAATTACTTCAGTAAATATATATATTAATTTCACAGTTTATAAGTAATTTGCACAAGAGTGAAATTATCATTTATCATATATATTTAATCAAAGAGACACTGAAATAGTTCAGTGTCTCATTTGACCTGTGTTTCTTTGAAGCTACAGAAAACCAAAAATATGCCATCACTGCATAAATGTTTATATCAAATGTAGGAATAAATGCTGTGGACTTGACATTAGAAGGTCATCTCTGGTATAGTTTTAAAGTGATCAAATTTGTGGCAATATTCCTTTGAAGCTGTGGACACATTGATCCAGATAGTTCAGACTGAAGATCAAGTTTTCTTTAATGCAGATGATATTTAACTCTGAGGCAAAGGACATCTGATTTCAAATGTCAAGATAGTGGGTTTCCCATTTTTTCTTGGTGGGCCTTTTTTTTTTTAATCTTAAGAGGTTTTTACTCCCCCCCCCACGACCAATGGTTTCGACAGCTGAACAAAGAAATGTCAACTGCAGCAAAATTGGAGTAAAATAAACCGAATATCTACATAAAATTGGGAAACACCACTGATCCATATCGTCATCTTTAAGGAATTTTTTAGGCTATATCAATCAAATCATCTATCATAATTTCGTACAAATAAAATGCGATTTTTAAATTTAACTCCCTATAAGAGCTTGGAAATAAAAAAAAGTGAAATCATAAGTGTCTTTTTCAAAATCGTATTTTATAATAAAAAGGACCTGAAACTTTTACTTATAAGAATATATAGTTGAACATTTTGCGAGTAGCTAAAGATTCTATGAAGTGTTTTTTTTTATATATATTGTTTAATAGAATTTAACATTTTCTTTAATATTATTCCTTTAAAATGGACAGTGTGTAACAAATTCAGTCTTCCATTAGCAAAAATAGAGCATTGCTTTAACAAAAACATATCAGAAATGCTAACTTTTCCACAGCTTAGAATTAGCAGCTAATAAATGCATAGGTGGTGGTGCACTCAATGGGAGACACACCAGGATGCTTCTGCATTTTTGATCAGAGTAGCTGAAATGGGGCAAACATCAGCCTTTTGCGTTTTACTTTTATCTAAACAAAAATTGAAAAAGCTTCCTGGATGGGAAGTGAAACGTCTTTCAGCTTGGAAACCAAGTCCAGTGGATTGTTTTTAATTTTTTTTTGGAAAGTTTATCTGAAGAGGTTTTGTCAGTGGGGGAAGAGTTCAAAGTCAGCATAAATTACTGTAGATCATTCTAACTTCCAATTTCTGTTTCAATGGAGGACCATCTGTATTCTGTCAAGTTAAAGGCAAAAGAAAGAAACCAAAACAAGAAGAAGAAGTGAAAGAAACATGGAGTGCTCTAGGGAGTGTGAAGCTGTTCATCTGGTGTTCTTCTGTAAGGGATCCAAGATTGAAAGCCTTCATTGGGACATGGCTAATGTGATAAAAACATGCCAACACGTTTCACCCTGAAGGGCCTTTGTCAGAGCAAAACCAAAAGGAAAAAAAGAAATAATAGCTAGGAGAAGATGATATATGCTCAACCTTTACCAGGGCAAGACAATTTATGAGGGAGCAGGACTTGAAAATGCAAACAAAGGTTTCAGGCTTTCTGCTGGGCAGCTGAGGTAATTCAATATAACAATGAAGCTTATTGTGGCAATATGTTAGAAACAGGTCAGTATAGTTGAGTAGATTATTGTAAGTTTTAAGTGTACCACTAAATGGAGGTAAGCAGCTTTAAATTACATCTAAGATCTTTCATTTATTCAGATAGTTTATTAAAAAACTAAACAAAAACCACTTAACACTGCTATTACTAAACAGAAGATATAAGGAACAATCTCCTTTAAAAAACTAAACTGTCAAACCTTAAATGAACTTGTGTAAATATTCGCTTCGCTGACCCGTTACACGTCTAGCACTCTCAATCAAAAGATTAAAGTTTTATTCTGCTTTCAGCACTCACTCTCTTCATCGTCGTCTTCCACAGGTGGACGAGCAGATGGCATCTGCTGAATCTCCCGTCTGGTCTCCTCAGATGTCTGAAGGGGCCCCAGCTGGTGCTGCTGCTGATTGACCCAGTTGGGCGTAAAGCCCCCGTCGTCCTGCGAGGGACTTGAGGGGGGCGGAGACTCTACCGCTGCAGATGAACAAGGAGAAGCAAGTTTATGTACTGGGGAAAAAAAAAAAAAAAACTAAAAAGGAAGACATTTCAATCTGTTCTCACATTCTTGAGTCTGCTGTTGTGGTAAACCTGCTTCTGTTGAGTTCCTGTTGGGCCTGTCAGTGTCCGCCATATTGACGAGCCATACCATTGTAGCTGGAGAACAACAAATGGGACGTAACAAAAACAAGAGTACAAATTAATCAAAAGTAGAAAAGGAGTTTTAAATTAAAATGAAGAAGGTTTGGCTAATCCCAGGGTAACATTTAGTCTTGGTCTTTTTGATTTTCACAAATCATTGGGTGGATTAGAAAAAAATGTGCTAAACTTTTGTGCCCTTCTCAATAATCCAGTCCTCATAGCAGTAAATGAAGGAAGCATCACCCCACCGAAAAACAAAACAACAAACAAAATGAGTTTCTTTTAATGATTTTAATGTTTTTAGAGTATCAATAATGTCAAAAATTACAAATTAAGGGTGTGGGCTTGAAATTCTTTGATCATTTTTTACTCTTTCACTTTTTAACACGTGTGTGTGACCGTGATAAGATGGGATTCTTAATTGAATGTTTTTGGGGGCAATGATCCACACTGATACATCAACTAAATGATTAATAATCCAGTGACACTGGTGCAAAAAAGAAAAAAAAACCAAAAATCCATATAGTCATCTTTAAAGGTATAGAGGACAATCTTTTATTTCCAGGTGGATCATCTAAATAAGTGGTCCTCCTATTATAATTATTCTGGTGATATGTTTACCTAAGGCCGACCTACGTGCTTGTCCCCAGTTAGCTATAGAATGCAGTTTTAAAATTGACTCCCTAAAAGAGATTATATATATATATATATATATATATATATATATATATATATATATATATATATATATATATATATATATTATTATATTTAAGTCTCTTTGTCAAAATCTTATTTTACATTAATTAAAAAAAAAATAATCTGAAATCTTAACTTACAGGAGTAGATGAGAGCTGGAAATATAGGTTCATTTCTCTCCTGAGCCGTCTCTACAAGAATCCTCAGTGGTCCATTAGGACAGAGCACAGCCAGCAAGTCTGTGGTTGGAAAAATGATTAAAATCAGGTTAGTGATGCTATGAACCAAATTCAGGGTCATTTTCTAGAACTTTCAAAACAATGAATAAGCAAAAGAAGATTTTCTGGTTCCTACATTCCCAAATGTTCCAAACCAAAGGCTTCATTCATACAAATAAATCATCACATCAGGAACTATTCTTTTTTTTTTCTCTAAATGCATCATATTTAAAAAAACAAAAAAAAAACAATAAAAATCTCCTGCCCATGAGTCCCTGTATTTAAATGCAGACTCCTCATTTCTGTGCTTGTCAAGGAGAGATTTACCATAAACCGATATGACGGCCAATATGAGCCAGGCGGTCCACTCCGGCAGGTATTTGATGAAAACCAGGGCCATCAGGGCGCTTATCATGATGAGGTAGGCCTGCTGGAGCCGCAGAGGTCCCTTCCAGTGAATACACATCATCCCAACCACACCGAAGTTCCACACTACTATTGCCAGGGTGAAGTAGTCCATGGCCACATTGTAGGTCTTGAAAACCTCTCTGTTTAAAAGAGCAGAGATCAGCTGGAGTTACTGTTATATCAGAAAGAGCTAGATTACTTCACATGAATGAATGAAGTTAAATTAAATTTGTAAAACTACATTTAAATCCATGTTTGCAGTGCTTACTGGAGGTAGATGAAGGAAAAGAAGAAGAGCAAGAGGAGGGAGGAGAGAAACAGCCATCCTTGGATCACCTGAGAATGTAAACATCAGACTGGTTAATATGCAGCACCGCTTAGTTTAATCTGCATCTTTGATCTATTGTTCAACTTAAAACTGTGCGCTTAAATACAGAAACCAAGATGAAGAGAAAAGAAAGTTTAGACAAAGTACCGATATACTCCTCTGAAGGGCAATTGAATCTGCTTTTTTAACCCGCTTTTTGTGTTTAATAACATGTTGTTCACTCACAAGTTTATGTGATGCAGTTCAAAGGAAACATTCAATTTCTTCTAAAATAAACAAAAATGAAGTATAATAACTGAATTTGAATTAAATGAGTGGACCAAACAGGAAAATAAGGAATGTATATTCAATCTTCTACTTCAAAATACTTAGAATCAAAACAATACATAGACTGAAAAACTGCTTCTAAAACCAAATCCGCCCTAATCAGAGATGGATGGTGAGAAACACTGATAGTTGATCACTTTCTGTCACCCAAAGGAAGTAGACCCGAGGAAGAGGAATCAAAAGAAGCTGTTTTGAGTTTAAAATGAAGCCGGAGCAACGTAGAAGTGTAATAAGGTTCTAAACCAGGATTTTCAGCTGGAAACAGAAATGATGCATAGCAAAGTTTTTCACTTCATGTGCCCAAGATCGATGATGAAAAAGAGCGTATCTGTTGTGGGGGTTCAATTTTGAAGTTTTAAAACAGGCAATTTAAAGATGCCAACAAAGATTAACATCAGATGAGAGGTTGAGGTACTAATGGTAAGATATAACCTGATTAATTCAAAGGATTTCATAAACAACTTCCATCTGATAATGTGCAACAAAATAAGTCTCTAAAACTCTAGTTAACATTTGTTTAAATGTAACATATTAAAATAGATTTTTCTAGCCTAAGCAAAACTGCAGTTGTTACAATTCCTGATTTATTTGTGATAAAATGTATGAAACAAAAAAAAGTCTGACCAAAAGCAACCTAAACTGCTGAGTGTGGAGAAAAATTTCCTAACCCCCTTCAATACCTCCTCTACCCACTAGAGGGCCTGGGCCATCACGTTGAGGATCTCTGCTTTAACATCTGCCTAAAACAAAATGTTTGCTGCTTTTTGGAATTCTTTGAGTTTAGGCAAACTATTTTTGTAATAATAAACACACTAATAACTAAGTAAGGAAGAGTAAAAACAATTTAAAGTTTGAAACTTTAAATTGTTTTAAAAGTTTTTTAATTTGTTAATTATGAAATTCTGTGACAACCAATCAGCATAATTGCTCGTAATTACAGGAAGGAAAATCAGTACCATAGATGGTAAGGGTCCCCTTATAAATAATTAACAAAAGCTTTATAGATATGATTTTAATTGATCTGAGAACACTTAAAAGCTCACTCGTTCATGCAATCATATTTGTTCATGCTAAAAAAAAAAAAAAGTATAAATGTTGATTTTCTTTAAAGGTAATAAACTGGTCTAAAATGCTGAAACAGAGCTGTCAGCTTAGGCTCAGTGTTTCGGAAGAAACTGGTCAGTTTTGACTCCAACACCCCTTTAAAGCATAAAACCCTTATCAATGACTTAAAAATATTTACAGATGAATTAATAACATATCTCTAACCAATTTATCGGCCATCTAAAGGGGAGCCTTAGTGTAAAGAAGTACTGGAAAGTTAAAACATGCTGAGTGCTGAGCTACATTTTTTTAATGTGTTTTTAAATGCTATATCTAACATTTAGCGACAACCTAGATCCAAAACCTCACCATCAATTGGGGCTTTACACGTTTTTTTTTTCATAATACTGTGATTAAAATATAACTTAAATCTCTACTAAAAATACATCTCTTTGTTTTCTAAAATTATATCAAATGGATTTAACAAATAGTTATCTAAATAAATTTGTAAATAGGCTTTAATCTGGTTGCTGTTTTAGTGCCTCACTTCACAGTAAAAAAACAAAAAAACCACACACACAAAAAAACAAGCTTCCTGATCCAAACTCTTAGTTAATAATCCTTCACTTTTAAATGAAATAATCAGAAAACATCCCTTTGCATGTTTATATTAGAGTGTAACACAGTGTTATTACTGCTGATCTGCATCATTCAGATATCATTTCACAATACCAGCTTGGCTCACTTGGATTTTATCTGAACTTACCAAAGATGCTTATGGTTAATTGTTCTGCCCAAAAATTTCAACCTAATAAATCCTAAATACAACTCTTTGAATTGCATCTTATTGAGAGCAGTTTGAATGACTTTTGTTTTTACTGAAGGAGAGAACAGGTTGCAGAGGGTCTGGATAGCAGCTCTGCTCATGTGCAGCCTTACAGCACACAGTTTATAGAGACTTTTATAATAAATGGTAAATTCTTGACAGACCAACTTTTGGGTAAATGAAAACATCTGACAATGAGTAAGATCTTATGTTAAAAAAGTCGCTTGTGCACAGGAAGATATTCAAACCCGTTCACATGTGAGGATCTTTTATGATAGGCTGACACAAAGTGGAGGATAAACATGAAAAACATAACATGGCATGGTAGAGGCAGCCTCCACATGATAAGGCAAGGGGGTGGCAGCATCATGCATATGGGATTAGTTCATTTCCTGAAGCTTGTAGATGTAATATGATAAAGTGCAAAAATAAGTGCATTTTACTAATTTATTTGGTACATTCCTCTTTCCTCATTGAAACAATAACATAGATAAGTGTCAACGGTGAAATAAAGAATTCTCCTGCATTATTCGAGCCTCTGTCTGTACCTTGTAGCAGCGATACTTGTATAACAGCACCAGCACCAGTGTCATGACGATGATCACAGTGATCATGATCGTGGCGTTAAGGATGGAGTTGACGGCTCGCTGTGCGACAGTGTCCGTTTCCTCGGGGAAAGGTGTGTAGATCCTGGAGTTGAGACGAGAAAGAACAGCTGAGCTAATAGCTGAACAGGAAATGCAAATAAATTATCTCAATAAATGAGTAAAAATATTCAGTTTTTAATCTAAGCCCATCATTCGCTTCAACAAGAACCACAGTGACACTTAAATACTCAACTGTCAAACATGAAATATGGTACAGTGCCTCCACCTAGTGGTTGTTATGTTTAACTACAAGACAAATCAACCACATGTAATGTTTGAAATCTGGTCAAAGTCTAAAACCTGATCCGTTTATGAGCAGGAATGAGGTATAGGTCATAAAACACTCACAGTCGCTGTCCATCGTTCCTGGTGTAGAAGCTGACAGATTTTATGGTTGCCACGACCACCACCATGCACAGGGTCACAGGCACAAAGAGCATGATGACGTGCTTGGCCCCGTATTTCAAGGTCATCTCCTCATCCTCTTCCTCTTCGGTCTCCACGACTCGAGCGGGACGAGCGGCGGGTGGCTGCCCGTTCTGCTCGGGGTTAGTACGGTTTCCTCCTCCTCCATCCCCTGCTCCGGCCCCAGAGCCTCCCCTGGACCGTGCTCTCGTCTCTGGTGCCTCATTGGGTTGAGGGTTGGGTTCTGGGCTGGTATTTGTCTGTTGTTGGTCCTTTTGGCACAGAAGAACAAACCCTGTTATTCTCATAATAATTCATAATTCAACCAAAGACAAGAAAGAAAAGCTAGAAAAAAAATGAATGGAGTAAAAAATTAACAGCATTTGTAACATTATCACTATTCCCAAATCACAGTGGTCAATTTTGGTCACATTTCTTACAAGAAAATGACCCTGACTTTCTCGCTCCAGTCTTATAGGTGGCGGTACCACACTTAAAGTGGGTTTGCCACCAAACAGAAAAGAAGAGAGAGTAGCAGCTCACACAGGCTCAATCCTAAACCAACCGCCTATGTTTTAACCACTAACTATTGAGGATCACTCCCAATGAAGTCACACTCGCATCAGTGGAGGGCACCTTGATTGAAGGTGGGCGGGTATAAATGAGAATGGGACGCCCTCCTCCCTCAAACAGAAAAGGTATCCCATGTGCGTCGCTATAGCTCTGTGGCACAGATTTACATGGCATCAAACATTTGTCCCTTTCTTAAACATACATTTCTACAGTCAAAAATACTTTTAAAGAGGACTTTCCCTTTTGGAATTAATGAAACGATTTTTTTCCCCTAACTTGTGACTTTCTATCACTGTGATGAAGATGCAACGAACCAGCAGAATTTAACACTTAAATGCATGAGTTTCCTCCAACGTTACGCCGTCTGCATTGAAGCAGACTCGCTATATAAGGGCTGAATGGTCGACTCACCCTACCAACTGGTTTTGGTTTTGGTTTAGGCCCCTCAACAGGAACGGTTAGTGCTTAGGGGAAGTGTTTAGGGGTCAGTTTGGGATTGGGCCACACAGAACCATGCATATCCAGATCAGCAGAAGTAAACACTTTTCTACACAACAGTAAAGTCAGCTTTTAAGCTCAAGAAAATAAAAGCCTGAAGTTAAACATCTGCATGGAGGTTGGTGCACAGTAAGGAAAACAAAAATCAAATTAGAGCACTACTTAATTTGGGGGAAAAAGTAAAAATGCAGTTTTGTTTTTTAGCATATAAATTCAACCTGATTCCAGATTTCAAACCTGGACTCTGGCTGCAAAAGGTCAAAATCATTTCCAGACAGAACGCCGACTCAACTGTCACAAATCTAGAATGAACCAGAAATAATCTGGTCAAAATTTTTACTTGAGTGATATCTTCATAAAATGTTGCTACTCTTAGTTGAGTCAAAAGTTTGGCTACACCATCTACGGTGAGCTTGTTGTTTTCTTTTTTTTGAAGGAGGTTCCAGACAATGACACACAGTCAACATTTATATCAATTTTGTATTTAAATATCATAATTAATAATCATTTATTTTTTGCACAAAAGCGTAAAAACCATTAACTGTGAACATTGAAAGGTAAAGTTGATATACAGTAAGGAGTGAATATTATCAGTGGAGGTGCTAGTTTCATGTTTTAAAGGAAATTGGTTTAGAAAAAAGTTTTCTACTACCTGGAATTTTTATATTCAGTAAAATTATTTATTTTACTTTTCTTTTTTTCTCTTACTTTATTTTAATTTTTAAAATACCAAAATTTGCACAAAACTTTGCATTTTGGTCCGTCTTTATTACTTAATAAATATATCCGATGATATGATCAGTTACTCTGTAATAGAGCGGACCTTCAACTAAATACTTTTACAGACTTATTTGAGTAAATGTATAAAAGTACACTCACTTAATTTGCTGACGAACTATTATCACTTAAGTCCAATGTTTGGGTGCTCTACCCACCTCTGATATTGTCGTCCCTGTAAACCTGCCAGCTGAAAGGCAGTGAGCAGCAACAGGCAGGAAAAAACACAGTAACGTGTTTCTCGAGTGCTATATTAAGTAATGTGCCACTTTCTTTCTCATAAAACATAAAACAAAATTTTAGAAAAGCACTGCACAGGAGAACAAATATGGCAGAAAGCTACCTTATTTTCAAAGCTGTTAATGTTGAAATTTGGGCATATTTTGAGAATAACCCGAGTATACTTCTTTCTACATGTCCAAAAGAAGTTTTCCAGTGTAAACAAAAAAATCTGTCCCTTTCCTGGCTCTAATCCTGTAGGAAAAAAAAATAAAAAAAGTCTCAAAGATCAATAAATGGAAAGGTTTAAATATGTTTACTTTCTATAAACAAAACCCTGAGGAGCTGCTAGGGAGTTTGGGCTGTTTTCAAACAAAACAGGAAGGGAGCTGAACTTGTTGCTGCTTAAGTTAATCAGAGGAGGAGGAGGAGGAGGAGGAGGACTGCACCCAGTTCTGCTCTGGTTAATAAATGACTTCAGAAATATGAGGAAGCTGTACTTTTCAGTTGCAAAAACCTAAATATGAGAAACATTTGTCAAGTCATCAGTGCAAACCTCTGCTGATACCGTTACTGATGAAGAACAGATGTGAAACAACTTAAAAAAAGGTTTTGGCTTTAAGCAGTAGACATGGGCCAGTTATCTGTCAGGCATCAAGTTTAAAAAAAAATGAACCCTCAACAAAAACCATACAATTTCAAAGGTTTTAATCAATTTTAATGAAATCCCAGAAAAAGTGCAGAAATTTCACCCGCCGTTTTAAGAAAAAACATCTTAACTAAAGTACAGTATATACACTCTTATTATAGGGGCTGAAATACTCATTCCATTAGCAGATAAATTACCTGCTCAAATAAGGTACAAAGAGATTTATGTCAAGAAACGTTTACTTATTCTAAGATCATTTTTTGCTGAATTTTACTTGTAAGTTCAGGGCAGCATTGAGCTACAGAGCTTATGGCTTTGGGGTCTGCTGAACACAGATCAGAACAGATGTGCAAAGGCTGGAAAAAAAATAATTTGGCTGTGGATCAGCATGCACCACAGAACTGTGAGGAAAGCAGTGTAAGACAATCATTACTTTACCATTTCTCAAAAAGATGACTGAAGCACTATATGAGGTCACTGACTCTTACTCCAGCACTAAACAGGGAGCAGCAGCTCAGTTAAAAACTGATCTCATACTAGCTGTAAATCACCCTGGAGCCGTTCTGTCAGATTCGGATTCAGATAACTCAAAGGTCTGACTAGAAGGGCCAGACCGTGAGGCAGGCTGACACTTGTAGCATGGAGAACATCAAGCACTTCATATTGATACAATAATAGTACGACAGGAGGCAAAACCCAACAGGCTGCAGAGAAAAATACTCTGATACTGCATTGTTTCGCAGGCCTGGGAATGAGGCCAAGGACACAAGGTGCAGAGTCACCCCCAGATTCCACATACTCCGTCAGTGCTAAACTCCTCCTTGTTCACGAGTTGTGCAGATTACTTGTCTGTCGTGCTAATCAATGAGAGCTGTTCCACATCCACCGCTACTCCTCCGTCCACATACGTCTTCTCCGTCCATCACCAGACAAATACGGACCCAAGCTATGCTTTGCTCCGCTCCGGTCCGTTGGAAGCCGGCCAGGTCAAGAACCGCAAGAAGATCCGGTTTGTCAAATTAAAATACAGTTACGACAGATTGGTAACTACAAATTAGAGCATGATTCTTATAGATTCCAAAAATCTAAAAGACCATTTAATTAAATGATTAGATGCAGACTATAGGTACTTGAACATACCCGGAAGCAGATTTCTCATCTCAATCAAAATATCTATTTTATACTGACAGGCTTAACAGTTTAATCAAATCCAGTCAAAAAAACTTCTTATTGCAGGCATGGATGAAGAGATGCTGAGTTTGGAAGTAGAGAACATAGTTCATAAAAAAACTATTTTGTATGATCCTAGTTATTTAGTTCATTTACGCATGATTTGCTTCTGCAAAACTTGAGCAGTCATGGAGGATGTGGGATTTCGGGGTCAGAGTTATGGAGAAAAACTAATGCTTTCTGTACAAGAAAGCATAGGTAGGTGGATCTGCATGAAAGCAGCGATCTGACTAGCTGTGGCTACTGAGGTCATACAGTATGAAACAGTTTGGGTTTAACCATATGTTACAGTACAAGTTTAACAGTATGAAAGTAAAACACTGTTATGGCAGTAAAAAGACTCTGACCTTGGCCTTCAGCTGTGAGGGAAACACCTTTATTTACAGTAACAGCTGATTAGTCAACCCATACCAACCTTCATAGTATCCGTGTACATTTACACGTTTTAACATTGGATGTTTCTTTAAAGTGACAATTCCACACAAAGCTGTGAATAATTTGAAGATAGAAGATAATCAATTGAAGAAAATATTTTTGTAGATATGAAATTTGTTGAAGATATTCAGCTCTCTTTAAAATCCCTAAACAACACCTATTGACTTCAGCTGTCACATTATGAGTGAACAGAGCTAATTATCAACAAATCATGATAAATTCAGCCGTTTTGTAAATTGAAGCATCAACAAGTCCAAGAAATGCAGCTGGTAGAGTTCAGTGATAAAACAATATCCCAAAGATGTTTGACTTCAGATCAAAGCTGTTCAATGCATCATCCTAAAAAATATATATAAAAACCAAACTGCTTGGTAATTTCCCATTAGCCTTGTGAAGGTGTACAATTTTGTCTCTAGTGTCTTTGAACAGCTCTTTGGTCTTGGCCATGTTCACACTGCAGCCTGAAGTGACCCAAATCTGATTTTTTTGCCCATATGCGGCCTGGATCTGATCTTTTCATGGCTGTCTGAACAACACAGATCCGATTTTTAACAATGCCACCCAGGCCACTGTGTGTGGTCCTGAATCCAATACAAATTTGATCTTTTCAAATGCGACCTGTGTCCGAATGGCCAGGTCACATTCATCCGGCCTGAACGCCATTAATACCCAAGAAAGGTCATTATTCTGGGTCTTGCTATGAAGAAGCGGCAAGAAAAACAACCACCATGGCAGATGATTATGATACGGAGAGCAGTATTTATGTTTAACCATCTTGAAAAGATTGTATTTTTATGGTTGGGAAAGATCGCTAGATGCGCTCTGGTACTACCATCCATGTTTACTTCTGTAAACTCAGAGCAGGCTGGCCTGTGATATCATTGCATCCTCTACTGGATTATTTCTTTTAGATTGTGTCTCACAGTGGATGCACCTACGATGACAATTTCAAAGCCCTCCGTGATTTCTGAGTGCAAAACAGCAGGGTGTTTAAATAGTTATTTTCCTCACCGTATGTTATTAATTTAGTATGTTATATAGAAATATGAAATTAGTAAGACAATTCGACTATAAAAACTCATAAACATATACTTAAAACTAAAGAAGAATAAATCAAGTATATATATATATACACACATATATATATATATATATATATATATATATA